AGTGGCACTCGAGGGTCCCAGCGGAGTGGGCAGCAAAGTTGAGCAGGGTTCTCCCTCTCGCTCAGGAAGGAGGACATGAAGGGAACATGTAATGTCATTTCTCTGACGGATGAAGGTTGGTGCGTTCGCTGATTTACAAGATGGGTTTGATGATACTGACTTGGACTCTCAATCTTGCTTCACAAGCTTTCACCGGGAGGACAATAGTGTCCCACGGAGGGGCTAGTGAGGTACTAGGATGCCCAACTCCTAGCAGCCCAGAGGTGAGGCTTCCCTTCCTCCAGCTGGAACGAAGACCAATGTCCAGACTCAGTCTTCAGGACCCAGGTTCTGGACGGGAATATGACATCCATTGTCACCCAGAGCCTCCGCCGTGAACGCTCCTCTGTGGCTTGGAATGCAGTCCCCACTGATCTCAAATACAAACATCATGCCCTTGTAGGCCAACCTCTGGACCTTTCTCCTCTAGCCCATCCTCTCTCTGAAATCAGAACTCCCTCCCTCCAGCTTTAAGAACCACATCAAAGTGAAAATTTCAAATTCAGAATTTCCCAATGACACAGATACCATAGATGACTTAGTAGGAGTGTCTATATGTGAGGACTTCCATGACACACGGTGGGTAACCTATTGAATGGGTAGGCCCTTACACCTTCAGATATGAGAGCATCCCTAGTTGGCCAAGACCCTGGGCCCACCCAGGTTCCGGTGAGGAGTCTGGTGGCTGTCTAGGGCATCTAAGGTTGTCACCATGGGGCAGCCTTAATGGGAACCATGCAGCTCAGTTGGGATGGGGGAGGAAGGTGAAGAAAGAAGGTTAATGAAAGCCCTAACATGTAAGAGCTGGATGAAACTTCAGAGTTCATCTAATCAAAGCCCCTCATTTTACAGGAAACTGAGACACTGAGCAAGAATAGGGCTTGTCCTCAGTCACACGGCAAGATGGGGACAAAGCCAGGGCAGAAGTGTATCCAAGAGACTCGGCCCTGAGCTTTTTCCTCCTGTAGTATGCTTCTTTCCGAAATCAAATATAGAGCTCAGGAAGACATATCTTTCATACTGACTCTGTCATTAAAATGCTGCATTTATAAAAAATAGCATCTGAACCCTGAAAAATATTTCATTAAAACACAACAAGCTTCCTTGAATATACTTCAGAGCAAAGTTTCCCAGGTTTAGGGAAGATGGTGGATGAATGTATGCGGGAGGTAACATGTCAACGCTTCCCAAAGCCGTGCCTTCTAGGGTCCAGCAGCCCTTTCAGAATACCTGGGGTCGAGTTCACAGTTGCCTGTGGATGGAGTCGGAGGATGGATGGCTGGTGGCAGACAAGGTATCTGAAGAAATGGATCTTTTGGTGGTAGGGTTGTTGGAATGGATATTTCTCCACATGACTTGGGGAGTCATGAGGCCATCCAGAATTTTGGGACAGAGGGAGATCTGTGACACACAAGCAGGACAGGTGTGGAGTGGAACAGTGGCCAAGAGCCCTCAAGGATATGAACTTTGGCCAGAGTAGGAACCTCTGGGCTAGGGCAGGCTGGGACAGCAGCTTAGGGGGACAGGCCTGGCCGAGATACCTCTGCCAGGACAGCTTCTCTGGTTTCCCTCCAGAAGACCAAGGTAGGAGCACTTGGCTACATGCCCTGGGGCATCACCTCCCAGAGGCAGGAGGGGAAGGATAAACCAATGCGGCAAAAAGAAGATCTGAATGTCTCATTCTTTAAATGTTTTCACTGAGAGCTATAGGTGTTACAACTAGAGAGTATAGCAAGACCAAGGAAAAGAAATTAGTGATGAAGAAAGGTAAGTTAAGGAAGAGGGCAAGGCCAGGGAGATGAGAGGAAGGAAAGACTGAACTGGCATAAGAGACTGAGTGTATGAAAGAGTTTCAGAGTGGAAGAATGGAAAAAAGGAGAAATTTGAATGAAAAGGTTTAGAACTTTCTAGAAGGCAAACCCATCACCCAAGAGACTGGGGAGCCAAGTGAGGGGGTTAACAGAATTCTTGGGAAAGCCTCTGTGACTTAGGAACTCAGGGAGTCAAGAGTTAACTGGAGGAGCAAGACGGGGGAGGTGGGAGAGCATGGGGGATTGTGGGAGCTTAGCTGTTATCGAAGGCCAAGGAACCAGCAAGAATGTTCAGGGCAGGAGAGAACCTGGCAGATTCCAGTCCATTCCAATCAGATCAATGGCGACTCGCACAAAGATCAAAGCAAGCAGAGGAACATTCTGGACTCTGGGCTTCCCTTGCTAGGAAAGGGGGACTTTCATTGTGGGGCAGGGCCTGGTGGGGCGGAAGTTGTGACATCTGGGTTCTAATCCCAGAAGCCTTGCTTATCTGCTGCCTGAACTTGTCTAGTAATGTGGCTTTGCTTGTTCTGCAAACTTGGATGGACCAACCCAATGAGCGAGATACTTGTGTGTCCTAGTTAAGATGTCATTTTATGGACTGAATTGGAGCAAGTCTATGGATTTCTCTCTTCCTCTTCCCTCCCTTCCTCCCAGACCCCAGCATGAAGCAGAAGAATCATTGAAAAGAAGTTGGGGCTCAGGTAGGATTTTCTGATTTGACTGACCCCAGAGGTTTTACACTGGATGACGGTAAGGCTGGGATGAGAGACATTTTGGAATCAATCTTTCAAACAACCCCTGAGACAGAAAGACGGGGCCTAGGAGAAATGTCATCCCGAGGGCTGGGGAACTGGTGCCAAGATGCTTCTCACAGGATGAGAGAGACGAGATCAGGTTTCTGGTTTGGAGAGTAGACACATGGGGAGGCCTTTCTCACCTACCCATATCCTTTCCCCTCTGCACCAACAGGCAGCCTTCCAGGGACTGGCCTGGGGCTGGATTAGAGGGCAGTGGGTTTAGGGACCAGCTGTGAGAGACACTCCTTTGTTTCTGGGAGGGGCCAATTGCTCTATTTAGGGTGATTTCCTCCAGCCTAATCCTCTTAGCCTCCCCTTTGGAACAAACTCTCATAAACCCTGGGGCCAGCCCTTGGGAAGGTTTATGTGTTTGTAGGGGAGGAAAGCAGAGCTATCCCTGTCCTCACAGCCTCACAGGACACTACCCCAGTGGGGGAGCTGAGGGCTGTGTTCACCACCCTGAGCCCTAATACCCTCATGATTATGTGATTATGGGAGCCTTGGGAGGAGACAAGAGCTTTGGAATTCTTGAAATAAGTCAGAGGAATCAGTCAATTGATTTCTCTGTGGTTGTGGACTGGGTTAGACTAGAAAATCCCAGGGCTGACACTGGGGAGCTCTCCTGCCCCAGCCCCGCCTCCCTGTTAAAGGGCCATAGATATTACATGCAGAACTGGGGGACCTAGAATCCCAGTTCAAGGTCATTGTTTCCGGAGTCTGACTGTGGCGAGTCACGTTTTTAGTATCAGACCTTCTCCCAATAGTTTGGAGCTGATTTCCCCAGCCCCAGCCCAGGGAGGTGCCCTGGCCCTGAGAATGGGGGAGCCCCTTCTCTCCCCACTGGCTCTGGTCTTGAGGGAGTGGATGCTGCTTAGCTCACCATCCAGTCTCCAGGAGGCGGTCACATCCTGCCCTCCCCCATCTGGAGGCAAGGAAGGGACTGAGATAGGCCGGCAGGAGCTGGCCCCGCAACAGAGCTGAGGGAGTCAATCTGCCTGGGGCCTGGGTCCCCTGCAGGGGAGAGACTGGGGTGCTGCCCAGTTAGCCCCAGACCAATCCCTGGAGTACCATTATTTGCATTTGCTACTGAGCCTCTGTCCCTTTGACCCAGAGGAGGCACTGGTCTGAAGCAGCAGCAGCC